TTTTGCAAAACTTCATTAGTATTAACTTTTCCATAAATTAATATCCAAATGAGAAAGCTGACCTTTTTAGGACTTTTGGATTTCCAGATAGCTTTAAATAAGGCCTTTGGCAATGAAGAAGCACTACATAGTTTACTGATTGATGCAACAGAAAACATACCCGAAGGTTCAAGTGACCAAAGCCTCCTATCCAATTCATTGGAAGGAGAATGAGAATGCAGAAGATATAAAAGTGCACTGAACTCCTCTATTTCATCATCTTTTAGAGCTCGTCTTGTAGAAATTCTCCAAGATAGGGTCTGTGCATCCCAAAACTCAACTACTGATCCGGAAGGATTGGTGGAGATTTGATAGATCTTTGAGAATCTATCCTTTAGGGGCTGATTTTCAATCCATTTATGAGTCCAAAACAGGATGCTATCTCCTGATCCAAGCTTAAAACCCGCAAACTGATTCCAATGGCTCCATTGGCGATAGATGTTGATCCAAGGTCTTCTAAGGCAGCCATTTAACATAGAACCGGAAGACCAGCCTAACTCAGAGGAACCATACAAACTTTCTATCACCTTTCGCCATAAGGCATGCGGTTGTTCTATTATTGATATACCATATCAATCGAATTAAAATGGTATTATGGTATATACGTGATTATGTAACTTTCACTTTCGATTAATGTGTTTGCATGCTAATTTGTGATTTGGTCTATCACCGATATACCATATTAATAGAATGAAAATTGTATATAAATGTTTCTGTAACCTGTTTGTGTTTTTTTTGCACAATTATTTAATTTTTTGGTTTATAACTAATATATCTAATTAATTTTTTTGGAACAAAAAACGATCTTTTCATTGAAAAAATGAAAAGAAACAATAATTGTTCAAGGATACAAACTCTCAAAAGAGTGAAAAAGAAACATAAAGACAAAAATACATCATCTAAACAACAGAATTACAAGGCCAAATAAAAACATCCCAACTGTTAAAAATAAGAGAAAGGGAGTAATGTGAGAATGACTCAGAAAGAGAACACCCGTGAGATGCTTTGAGCATGGCGGATGAGAGACAATCAAATCTTCTTTTACTCTTAAAAATCCTCGAATTCCTTTTAAACCAGATTTCTGAGAGAAAACTCTTCACCACATTAATCCACAGAAGTCTTGCCGTAGGTGACAAGTGTGTGACTCCACAGAAGTCTTGCCGTAGGTGACAAGTGTGTGACTCCACTTAACGATTGAGTCAGATTTGCTTCAGCCCTCAAATAAAAAACCCAACTGATCTTGAACTGATCAACAAGAGAAATCCAGCCTCGAGTGCCAAAAGAACAATGGAAGAACAAATGATCAATATCTCCCCACTGGATTCACAAAGAACACAAAAAGAAGGAAGCAATGAAGCTATAGGAAGTTTCTTCTGGATCAAATCAGCAGTATTTAGCTTCCTTTTGAGTAGTATCCAAGAAAAGATATTAACTTTCCTTGGGCTTTTAGACTTTCATAAGTCTGTAAATAATTCCTTAGGGATCGATGAGGAAATAAACAATCTGCAAACTGAATTTACAGTAAACACCCATGTAGGATCAATACTCCATTCTCTTTGGTCCCCCTCATTAGTGATTGAAAAAGAACTAACCACATGTAACAAGCCAGAAAACTCTTGTAGCTCATCTTCCTTCAAAGGTCTTCTCAAAATAATATTCCATGAACCAGTGGCAATATCCCAAAAATTAGCGACAGAACCATGAGGTATTAAGGAAAGCTTAAACAATCTGGAAAAACCTTCCTTTAATGGACTAAGAGAAGTCCAACGAGAATGGCAAAAGTAGACCTTACTGCCACAGCCAACTTTGTAGGATACAAAGGCCTCAACACTCCTCCATTGTGTAGAAATTTTTCTCCATGGACCACGGGAACCCCCAATTCTCTCTATTGCATCTAATCCAGTATTTCATACCACCACTGCAACCAAACTGTGGCGTGATAATCAAGCAACTCTCTTGTAACAACCGAAAAAAT